GGAGAGCTTCCCTCGATCATACGACGTTTAATAGACATTTGAGTGTCTTAATGATGTCAGAATTGAGTGATATTGGGCTCGTTGGATTCTTCTTGTTGAGCCACTCAATTTGAGTATAAACTTGTAATATTTGACAGTCGTATAACTTTTCAAATGTATTCATAAATCTTGTAACTATGGTTTAACGACTTGATCTGAGCAAGATTTGATTTGGATTGGGCTAGTTTTCATATCATTAGGTTCGTCTCATTGAACAGATCAGTTTGACTATAAGTTTGCTGAAATTGGAGCTCTGTATGACTTTTTATTAAGATTTGAATGTTTCTTGTTTAAAATATCACTTCAAGATTCGTGTTGTATGATGAAAATTTGTTGGCGGTGTATCATATGTAAATATATAAAATATGTTGTGAACTTATTATTATTATTATATATACATTCACACAAACTTGAGATTCGTGTCATATCTCGAGATTTGTGCTGTATGATGAAAATTTGTTGGTGGTGTACCATATGTAAATATATAAATATGTGGTATGTATGTAAATGAAACTTATTATTATTATTATTATTATATATACATTCACACAAACTTTTGTTTTTGCCTCGATTACAATTAAATAAATTACAATACATGCATGAAAAATTTTGATGCACTCAAAAGATTTAATTGTCATGTAAGTAAAATAAAATTCAACACTTAGATGAATGAATACAAAATAATTTTGTGGAAACTATGTGAATCCCCTAATTTTGTATTTATTTTTTGTTTATTTAGCAATTTATTCATATTTTTGTATTGCAATAATTAATATTAATAAATTTTTTTATGTGACGTATAGATTAATGTGCAACTTAAATAAGGAAAATATTACAAACATACTACTCAATTTCCATGCATTACACATCAACACCTAAAGTTTGATATTTACATTTATAGCATTTTTGTATAATGCCAAAAAACGCATTTTATTATTAAAAAGTTATTAATGGTGGTGTCTTTGACAGAATATTTCCAAATAAACAAATAAAAATGTTTGAGCAAATAAAAAATGAATAATATCAATTATTATATTGCACTAGCTTTTATTTTAACTATAAAAAAGTTAAATAAGCATTTCCATAGGTAAGATGGTACATATATATATAAATTAAAATTAAAATATTGGATATGTAAATTCACAAGAAATTGAGGAGAAAAATTTGCGTACGTAACAAGTACGCAGGACTGCGTACATTTGGGTTATATGGAGGTTATATGGATGTTACATGGGTATAACACAGATGTAACCTCCCTATATCCCCAAATGTACGCAGTCCTGCGCATTTGTTACGTATGCAATTTTTTCTCGAAATTGAGAGGTATGTATGCCAAACATCCATAAAAAAACATTTCATTCTTATGTGAGCGAATAACACAACACTATAACAATGAAAAACTATTCCTTTCCAAATTCATGAACAACACAAAATGAAAAATAAAATTGTTGTGGTCAAGAAGCCAAGGTTGTTCTTGGACAACTATCAAAACTACAAGCCAAGATATCCGGATAATCCCTGCTAATTGTGAAGTAGTCATAAACATTGCCATCCCTGCTCTTCTTGTACTCGAACAACAGAGTTGTATGATTATACGCAGTCAGCTTCACAAATCCGAAGTCATGATCTCTGAAATGGCTCCATTTTGCCTTAAATGGTGTGTAATCAGCAAGGCTGGCTCCGCCGCCTCCAACGACAACATGGGTGGTTGCTGTAAAGAGGCCACTGTAATGATTTGATGCGTTTTGCAAGCAGGTGTTCTGTTTGAATTTAGGAAGCAAGTTAGATGTGAGGTGAAGAACTTGTTGTTGAGGTTCGTTATGAAAGCAATTTGAGCTCATTTAAGGTATATTTGCAATTTTGTTTTTCAGGATCTTGTCATACTTGAGTATGCCACGGCTTTCTTGTTGTTTTTCAGAAATTCTAGTGGCGAGAAGAAGCAGGTTTTTAAAATACATTCGTATCAGAATAAACGCAAATAAAATTTAGCAGGTTGATATAATTTCATGGATATTAAAATTGTAAAGATTATTATTTACCTGATAGACTGGGCAAGTCCTCTCATAGCTATGCACATGGCCATAGAAAGCAATATCAACCTTGTATTTTTGCCAGAGTTCTTGAAGGCTTTCTCTTCCCATAGGTTCCTCGAAGGTTCCTTCGTCCGCATAGAACTCGGCTGACGAATAACCAAGAACTCGATGAGCGAGGAAGATTAGCCATGGCTGCTTCTGTCTATCGACAGTCGATAGGCAGTGCTCGATAAACTTATACTGTGGAGTTCCAGGTCTCCAGTCATGCTCAGTGTCTGCTATACAGAAGTGGAACATGCCATAATCCGTAGAATACCTGAAAGGATGAGAATAACTCTTATGAGGGGAAAATTGTAAATCTACTTCTTAGAAAGATCAAACGTAAGTTTAAGCACAGCATGATAGCAGGAATGTCTTGTTAACTTCCATATATTGCAGAACATTGCATTTACATTTCTCTCCAAAAATATATTGGCCTTTTGCGAAGTGTTACAGAGTCGTTGCAGCTAAACCAAATTCATAAGAAGTGATGTAAAACGTTTGTAGAAAGAGACTGAGCTATACATAACTCCAACCGGGAGAGCAACTCAGGAAACATATACAGTAATGTAAAAATTTAAAGGCTTGATGAAGAAAAGTATAATAATGTGAACCAATAGGAATCATATTATAACTTGAAGTGATGAAGCAGTGGTTAAGTTGAAACCATTGCAATTTGGATGTCTAATTTTTTAAGTCATGGAAAAAGCCTCCCAATAAATGCAGGGATAAGACCATATACTCTTGGTCAGATCCTTCATTAAAAAGAGCTCTATGTGCCAGGTATTTCTTTCTTTTTTACTAGTAATATATTTACAAAAAAGTAAAGTGTCCAAATGGTCTCCTCAATCTTTACAGAAGGTCATTTTAATCCCAAAATCTATAAGAGTGTCAATTTAGTCTCATATATGGGGTGAATTAATCTTCATGGAGGAATATTTCTGCCCCTATTAAAAGAGAATGAGGAGTTATTTTGCACTTTTATTGACTCTGGTCTAAAATGGCCCAATATAAATAATTAGAGGATGATTTTTACACTTTACACATTTACAAAAAGATCTGTTAAGAAATCTCATTCATTTTCACATTTACCAGTAATTGGCTCTGTTCTCTGCAGGAACATAAAACATTGTTTCTGCCAAAACACCGCATTCTCCTCCAGAATCTTTGTTCTCGTAGAAGGATCCAGTTCCAGGAAAATCTCGTTCATGATTTCCACTGCAAGCAGAGAATTATGTTATTAGGTCATAAATGACGTGTGATATCCAAGCAAGTTAAGAATAAATTGTCAAAATAGCCCATTTACTGTTTATATGAGACCATCTCAGTCTCAAAATCTATAAAAGTGTCAAATTAGTCCCGGACTCTTTAAATTGAGATTAAAACAGTCCTCCGTGGAAACTATTTCAAACTATATTAAAAAAGACTGGGGAAAAAATTGACACTTTTATAGACTCTCGGATTTAAATGATCTCCTTGCAAAGAGTTTGGGGACAATATTGAAACTTTTCTCTAAGGACAGACCTGCCAACCATGTATGGTACTCTTGAAGCAATGGGCTCAATTTGTGCTGTAAACTGATCCCACTGTGAAATATAACCATTTGCATAGCATAAGTCTCCAATATGGAGAACTAAATCTATATTTTTCAAGTCCCTAATCAACTGATAGGTAGTATTTAAAGAACCCGGCTGGAAGTTCGCAAACTCATTGGAACCATCAGCCTCTGCCTGCTCAAAAATGCACGGGAAGAACAATAATGATAGAATGAATTCAAATCTGCAAGTGTAGATATAAGAAAAAAAGTGTATCCTTAAGTGAATATCGGTTCAGAAAATTCAATATCAGATTTCCATTGTAGATCAAGCAAAGAGTTTTCACAATAATCACATCTTAAAATCTAGACATGCTTAAAATATATGGCAGTTCAGGAAAAAAAAAAAAAATGGTAACATAAGCACTACACTTTCAACTTTTTTTTATGTATAATACATGAAAACTTCATGAGTATTACAAAATAACTATAGCACACATTTTAAGACATGTTTCGTATGTATGAAGCCTGGATCGCGTAACTTTTAACTATGTATCTTTTAGCTACGTATCTTTTAGTTTAGTATTACAAAATAACTATAGCGCACATTTTAAGACATGGTACTTAGGGTCAGCTTTAGCTTTTTATAATATTATTGTTGCCAAATTCTATCAATACAACATCAACATGCAAACCTAGGAAGAATGAAATGTACCTTTCCCATGTCACCAAAAATTACAATTTGCTGTAAAGAATCTTGGCCAGGATATGGAGAAGCCTTAAAGATATACGATCGGCTCCAAACATAAGAACCATTAAATAACCTATGTCCGAGCTTGTAAGTATATCTGCAACATCAAAAATTAAGGATATCTCAATAAAAGATAATAATGTGTCACATTACAAGCAGTAGCATAAATTTTGTAGTTGAAGTTGACAAAATTATACTAAAAAGTTTGAAGAAAGAAGAATATGCACATTAAATTAGGCCACAAATCCTTAAGAAAGCTCGTATGTATGAAGCCTGGATCGCGCCAGCCCACCGTTTTAGCAGGCGAGCCTATTAAGAAGCAAAAACAGAAATTACACACTAAACTAAAAAATACATAGCTTTCAAAATTAGAGAAAATGATTTGAGAAAAAAACCGCTCTCCGAACCAAGATAAAAAAATGTTACAGACTAGAACATTGCATAAACAAGCCAAATGATGAAAAAATAACAAGAAAAGCGTCAAATAGTCTCTTAACTGTTTACAGTGGATCATTTTAATCCCACAGTCTATATAAGTGTCAGTTTTGCCCCGAGACTCTTTGAATATGCGCTGAAATATTCCTCACGGAGGATCAGTCTTAATTTTAAGAAGACCGGGGATTAATTAAGCACTTTTATATACTTTGGGACAAGAATGGTCTCATTTAAATAGTAAAGGGACTATTTTGACACTTCACTCAAAAAATAACACATTTATTGTAAGAATAACACAGACCACACATGCTGCTGCGGCTGATGGTCAGAGTTCCAGCTGGAGAGCGAGTTTGATCGCCACCATTTGGACCCCATTCAACAAAAGGTTGAGCCTCATCAATGCCATATCCACTGGTCCATGTTACAGTCATCTGCTCAAGATTATTTTCATAAATCAATAAACAAACATGAGAAAAAGAAATTGTGATGCAAAATTGCTTTGCAAATACAAAAGGTTTTCTACTAACAACTATCAGGTTAAGCAGTCATGAATTCGTATTCAGCATGTAAAGAAAGGAAGGAGTCTAAGAAATATAAAATCAGAAAACAGATGGTTGATTAAACAAGTAAAAACCACATTTTATTTTTAACATTCAAATGATATAGGAGTAAGTTCAATGAACAGCTGCTAAAAGGTTAATTTTTTTGATAAGATATTTGCGACAAAATTTGAGTTTATGTTGGAACTTTGATTCACCATGCAAAAACAAGAAAAATGACCAGCAATAATTTGAAAGTAAACCTTCAGCATATAACAGTAAAAAAACGACATACTTCATTCCAAATTTTTCCTTGGGCCAGGCGAGAATAAAGAGGTGCCTTTGGATTTGCAAAAGTAATTGTATTTGATATGGCTATCAGTTTTGGCTGCAATTCACAAAATACATATTATTGTAAGCTCTTAGAATGAACTATAAATAACGTAAGATGTGCATAAGTTTACGGATTCATGCTTTCTTGATGATTAATGGATTCAAATTTATACATGCAGCAAAGTTTTAACTATGAATAGCTTCCTCGGATTGCTTTAATTTATTAAAATAATAGGAAGACTTACATACATACCATTTAATTCCTATGCATTTACATTATCTGAAACTTAAACTTCAAAATTTAACCTTACCTATGCATGAAATGGTGTATTTCACTTTTTAAATGTTAAAATAATGGTATATTTTATGTGACATGAAATATTTGAGTGGAATAAATGTAAAAAAGAAACTTTAATGTTAGAAATGTACATACAAAGAAATTGGGTATTATGTATGTGCCCCAACTTAATATTTCAAGTGCTACTTGTGGTTACGTACAAATTTTTTAACTTGACAACAAAGACTGCATCTATGTAGATGATCTATATATATATATATATATATATATATATATATAGTGAAAGGCAGAGCAATAGCAATGGTACTCTGCCACATTTTCCAAAACACAATTTTGAGATTGAAATATATTCTTTACAACATATCCTTGGCTTCCATTGTAGTTTTATGAAAGAGATGTGTTAGCTTAATTATGTATGCATTTTAAAAATATTTTGATCAATTTTAAAAGGGTCCCATTGGGTAAATTTGATAAAAATATCCACGTGGAAGTAACCCACTGTATGAGTTTCAAGTTTTGAAATATTGGAATGCTTGCCTAATATAAAAAACTTTTGGTTGTTTTGCCACCCTATTATAAAGCAGTCATAATACAAAAAATCCATAATAAGAAAAAAATTTCTTGGTTGCATATTCTACATTTTTAGAAAAATGGAAACTTTAGAATAAAATATTCATTTATTTGCTAAAATACAAACATTTGAGAGTCCACCAGAAAACATTGCAAAAGAGAAGTCTCCCCGCTGGTTAATTAATTGAAGCTTCTGAAATCCGTTTCCAGTAGCTGTATAATCACTACTCGAGTAGTTCGCATACTGAAACTGCAAAAGATGACTATTTCAGCAAAAAACTAACTATTTGAGCACTATAAACCCAATGAATAGTAATAAATTTTCTATGGAACAGTATTAGATACAAAACTAACCTTAATAGGAGAAGTGCAAAGTAGAGGAGCTTCTTCTCTTCCACTTTCCGGTTTACATACAGCGGAGCTGAAGCAATAAAAAAATAAAAACAGATCACTAGTTTACATACAGTGGAGCTGAGGCAATAAAAAAAAATTAAGATCATAAAATTATGTTCCAAGCTTTTGTTCTTAATCATCTACCACACTTAAAACTTTGGGCCATTTACATACATACCACCCATTTCCTCTGTATTTACATATCTAAAACATCAACTTTACTTTTTACATTTATTCATATGTAAGTGGCATATATGTAAAAATTGAAGTTTAGGAGTTAGATATGTAAATACATGGTAAGTGGTATGTATGTAAATCTTTCTTAATCTTTTTGTATATGTAAAATAATTTTCTCTGAATATTAGCTTTCCAGCCTTCTTGGCCATGTGTTGCAACATGTGAAATATGGATAAAGAGCAGCTCAATGAATGACAGCAAATGTTGCATCAAAAATATATTTCTTCATCCCTATCCTTCTTACTTTAAAGATAAACTATGTTATATTCCATAATTACACTGCTTAAAATAGTAGTTTTCTTCAAAGGAATTTGTAATCTTCCAAATAAGAATCCGCATGGCACAAACTTAGGTTGCCAAATTCTTCAACATTATGCCAGAATTCTCAGCTTAATACATATAAATATCTGGTTTTACAGGTGAGCATAACAGTTTTACCTGAATTTGGCAGGAGAAAAGACGCCAATCCAATCATCATTTGATGAATTTGGGTGTTTATATTCTAAAGTCACCCATCCATCAGTTTGCCCCTTTAAAAAATTTAGAGTTGTGCGGGTTAGTTTAAGAAATTAGTTTTCAACAAAAAATTGACCTCGATGTATTGAAAGAACAGCATCTAAGGACTTCAAGCAAAAGTATACTTTCCTTTGAAATTGGAACTTTATTTATGAAATACAAATCAAATCTGATGTGTAACAAAAGAATTTTAGAAGTATCCGAGAATTTAAATCAGTAAAAACATTTTGAGCGGATAATTGTTAAGCAGTTCCGATAAGAAGAAATATAAAGGCATTGCCATAAGAACAAATAACACTAATTAAAAAGGAATGGCATGTAATTTGCATTTATAAAAATACTTCAACAATAATGTCATAATATAAAATTCGTAAAAAGAATTATAATTACATCTTCAAAATTTTAAAAATTTATAACCACCAAAAATCACTCGGTCTATTATGAGTATGTTGATTAGTTTTACAGTCATTAGAATTATACTAACTATTTGCTAATGCCTAATAAGCTCAAAAAATCAAAATTAAGGACTAAACATTCATAGCATCATTATAATTGGCCTTTTCTCAAGTTCTTGGGATTGGTTTTAACTTCTATTAATCCTTCATCCTCCCGTATTTTGAGTTTTGAATATAGCATTAAATCTACTTCATGAATATCTATTTTTTGACAACTTCAAAATCATGCTAGATATAGCCTGGCCTTTACATTCATAGGGCTTTCATATATTTCCTACCTATCCTACTAATTGAGAGCAGTATATCCAACCATTTTCATCAATGCATCTTTAACTTTCTTTTCTGCATAAGAAAATAATGTAAATTTATTTTGCCATCAGTTCAGCGCATGTCAACCCACAACATCACTAATATTACAAATGCTGTTTCTTATAATCATATTACATTTTATCCTTCTAAATTTCCCCCGCATTCATATCAACATTCAAAATGATTGTTTGTGCCTTCTTTGATGCCAGTAAAGGATTTTAATATCCAACCTGTTTTTCGTTACTTATCTCAAAATTTAGGAGCTCGTCTTGGGGAAGGGGGATCTATGACATACAGGAATCTCCCTCCATTCCAAAGACTGGAAGGTTAGCACGAGAACAAAACCAATCATTCAATGAAACCGTGAATCACTGTCACAACTAATTTCCCATTCTACCAAATAACAAAACTAAACATTTTTGCCGGTAAAAACTAAACCCAGTGAGCAATTAAATTCCATTTTAATCTCTCAACATAAGCTATGTAACAGCCACAGAAAGCACAAGAACTTAATCGATCCAATAAGAACAATTAAAACTCAACATGTTTGCACAATACAGAAATACAATGCCTGCAACAACAAAAATAAAAGGTTGAATATGCTTGCTTTAAATGGAAAAAAGATAAATTTGAATTATACCTTCAACCCAAGAACCTCAGGAGAGGCTTTAATATAAGCTGAATCATCAATAGCAATCGTGGCTCTGTGAATCGCAATCCTTTCCAGCGGCTGCTCCCCACCAGACCTCGCTATCCCAAATCTCCATAGATTTGAAACAATCGCTAACAAAATTAACGCACTTGCCTTCAGCATGCCTGCTCAAAATATCAAACCCAATTAAAAATATACTAAAAAGAGATTCCATATCCAATCAGGATTGATACTAATTACACACAATAATAAAAATCAAAATAAATAAAATACTCTAAACCAATCTGCTTCGGTAATCGCGCTGGACGAAACACCAACTTACAAAGAATTCGCCATGTAAACCCTAAAAAAGGCAGGAAACATGATGCCAGAAGCCGACTGACAAAGAGCTTGCTTTTAAATCAAAGAACTATACGGTAAAGAATTACGTTTTATGAACAAAAACTAATTATAAGCAGGGCCACTGTCAAGAAGCGAAGGTAGAAAGAGAAACTCACTGCAGACTCAAACCACAGCACCGAGAGCCAGAGCTCCAGAAGAACTCGCCAATGAAGGAAACAGTTACTTGCCCAGAAGAGCTCACCAATGCAGTGCAAAGCTCAACACTGTTCACTTAAAACCGGGAGGAGCGGAGAGAGCGTCTAAAGACCGCGTGCCGTTCACAATTATTTATATTTATTTGTTTATTTATTTATTTATTTATTATCTGTATTCTGATTTGTAAATGCCGTTGTTTATTTATTTATCTATTTATTATCTGTATTCTGATTTGTAAATGCCGTTCAGAATGTAGAGGTAAAATTCGGATTTCGGAGCTTGAACGTTCTATTGACATCGCATCAGTAGAGGCGTGCACTCAAAACATAACTAGCCGTCAAAACATTAATTTTATTTATTTACATATGTAATATTTAATTTGCATATTCATATCACATTTTTATGTCATCGGACATATGTTTTTGATGTGCTGTTAAATATTTTGAGTGATATACATGTATATGAGATTATGGGGGTTTGATTTGTAAATACAATTTTCTACAATAGATAAAAAATTTGGATAACTACTTAGAATAATTTTATATATA